AACACACTAGACTCGGGCTCCATTCGCGACCTTAAGCAATTTCACACATTCGTTGATTCATGAAATACCGTTTTATCATTTATTGAACTTTAATACCGTGATAGGAAATAGGGTGATGGGTCCTTACTCGTTTCGGGGTCCGAACACGGCTTCACGGTGCGCCTACAGGCTATCCCTAATTTTCCCTGAATTTTTTCCGATGAACTGAAACGCACTACTGGTACCTGCACGTGTTCCAAAAAAAATCACAAATTAGGCCCAGGGCCCCTTTTTGGCCAACATCGCAATTCCGGCACACTTGCATCGATCCTTGCGATAAAACAACCCTAGGGCCATCGGGGGGCCAAAAAATTACGAAAAACCGAAGCTTACCGGCAGCGGTGCTCTCGGGTGCGGCGGCTCTCCGGTGAAGTTCGTGTTTTGGTGATTCGGCTCCGATCAACCTGTAGAGAAAAGAATGGTAATCACGGTGATATAAAAATTGCATCAAACGGAGGCCGGGAAGGGCCTCATCGGAGGCAAAAATCGAGAAGGGGCGCGGCGGCGCCGCTGGATTTCGGCCGTATTTTTCCGACCGTTTGGCCGGGATTTTGGCTCCGATTTGGCCACAGGGGAAATCAGCGTGGAAAAACGAGTCGGGGTATGAAATTTACCTCGATTGGCGGTCGGAAATCTCCCCGGTGCGGTGGCGGGTGGCGACGACCGGCGTCTCCGGCGTCTGGTTCGTCTTCTCCGGCGAGGGCAGGCGGCTAGGGTTTTTGTGGTCTGGTGTGGGGGTTCTATTTATACCCTTTTGCCTTTTGATCTCGGCCGTCCATTTTGTTTTAATCTGGACCGTCTGTGTGATTTCATCTTGGTCGTCCGTACGCACGCTTGATCTGGGCCGTCCGATCGCGCGTACGCAGATCGCCAACGTGGCCCGTCCCCGGTCGATGTGATTTTGCCACGCGACAGGTCCTGGTTGGCCGGGACTGCTGACTGGGTCTGCTGACGTGGCTGCTGACGTGACTTTTTTTTTTTTTTTCCTCTTCCAATTCCCGGGTGTTACATATAAAGCTTTGGTATTCAATCATATAAGTTAAGAATCATTTGATAATTAATTAAAAAACATTACATAATTATTTTTATTTTAAATAAATTATTGTTAGAGATAAATATAGAACGAAACATATATATTAATAAAAAATTAATAATAATAAATATTAAAATAATAAAAATATTTTGTATAAATTCCTAATTACAAATTTTTTTAAAAAAATTAATATAAAATTAATGGTTAAACAAACATTAATAATAAATAATAAAATATATTTTTCATCCATATTCACAAGTTTGGCATATGCTCTCAACACTAAGCATTATTCTCTCACATATATTATTATTATTATATATATATAGCTATCATAATTCACTTTCATTATTGGCCACTAGTATGCCTTCTTTTTTTTAAATTATTATACTATTTTATTTCGTAAGATAAAAAATTTAATTTATTATTATGTTAGTAAAATTACAGTAATTAAATTTAATTAATTTTTTAATAAATATTTTTTAATAAAAAAATAATATATATTTTGATTCAGATAATTATAACGAGTTAAAAATTAATATATTTTTTAATTAAAAAGTAAGAAAGTACTTATACATATATATATATATATGTATATGCATATCCAATATTCTTCCCTACATTGAAAAACTAGGTCCACAACTCTTCATTCTCCGCCACAAATTTTCACATGCATATTTATACTACACCGCGGGTCCACACAACATTTCCCTAACTTTATTATTTATTATTATCAACATAATTTTTTTTTCTTCAAATATTAAACTTTTTAAGGAGATCCTCTATATTTATTTAATTAAATAAATTGCTCACGATAATAAAAAAAAATTCGAGAAATATGAAAGTCTTCGAGGACTCGAGATTCTCTAATAGAATTTGATATTTCAAAACCTACTATTTTTCGTGTTAAAATTCAATGGATTACTTAGTTGGGCCTTTACGAACTTTAAAGAATTAAGCGCTCGTGGAAAAAAAGAGTTCGTATTAGAGCAAAGAAAACCTAACAATGAACCGATGGGTTTTAATTCCGTGGTTATTTACGTTAAATTGTATATAAATATTATATAGAACAAGATTAATATATATTACGTTATAATAAAATAAAAAAAATGAATTATGAACAAATTTTAGAAAGACCCAAATTTTTTCATAGGCCCAAATTAACAATTGTCTTTGTGGCTAATTATAATCCAAGCCCTAAAAATGTGTGCAAGTGAGTCCGATTGATTAGCCGTGGCCTCCTAATTTCCATATTTGTTGGTATATTATATACTTTTTAAAAATATATTTAAATAGTAATTATTTAATATCTTAGGATTTAGTTATAATTTATATACTCAATACAATATTTTATATGAAAATTAAGTCTATTTTTTCTATATATATATTTTTAATTTAAAAATATAATAAGTGTTATTATAATTATAATTTCCATAAATGTGAAGTTATATTGTGTTAATCTAAAAATCCATAATTGTTAAATTTCTCCATAAGTAGTAACCACATTAAATATTTTTCGTAAAATGGACCCATTTTGGTAATTTTCCTTTTTTTAATTTGTTAAAATTCAACGGTCCAAAATTTTATTTTTTAATTATTTTTTCAGCCGTATATAATTTTTTAAGAAGTCAAAATTAATTTCTCAATTTATTTATATAATTTTATCGTCACCATCTTCAGATTCTCGGCTTTTCTCTGTCTCGAACCTTTCTCTCTCCTTCATAACTCCATCATCATCATCCTCACCATTTATCGAAGATCCCAAATGATTCAAAACGCTGCGTTTTCGCTGATAGTAAACCTCTTCCTCCTCTCTTTCATTTTTTCACATGTCGTCGTTCTCTGCGTCGTCGACTCGCAGTTCCGGACCTGTAGTGTCCCTAAATCATGCGGTGACGGCCAAATAATCAAGTTCCCGTTTTCCATCCACGGCGGCCGAGAAAGCTTCTGCGGCTTCCCTGGCTTCGAGCTCTCTTGCAACGACAATGGAAACCCAGTTCTCCAATTACCCGATAACCAATACGTCGTCCGCCAGATCTCTTACAACAACCAATCTCTTCGCATATCCGACGCCGTTTTCAACCACATAAACAAAACCACCACCGTCTGTCGTGACTTCCCACCAATCCAAAACCTGACCTTACTCGAAGACCGGTTCCGCGTCCTGTCTCGAGGGAAGCTCTTCTTGCTTTACAACTGTAACTTATCATCCGGCAGCCGGAATCTTGAACAATACAAGATTAGCTGCGATGGCGGGAATCGGAATGGAACAGCGTTGACGACTCTGGCTCTGCCGTCGGAGGAGGAGGAGGGTTTGGCGTTGAAGGAGTGTGGGAACGACGCTGTTATGGTTCCGGTCGTGGTGGACGAGTCGGGGAGAGGTGAGTCGACTCGTGAGTTGCTGAGTCGGGGATTCTGGGTGAAGTGGGTGGCGAGTAATTGCAGTATATGCGAGGAGAGTGGAGGCAAGTGTGGGTTCGACGAGTCTACTTATCATTTCAAGTGTTTTTGCCCTGATCGACCTCATGCTTGGCGCTGCAATACTTCTACTGGTATGTTTTTAAGGGCTTGTTTGGTTGAGTTTTTAAATTAATTCAGTTAATTACTTGTTAATTGTTAGTTAAATTATGTTTATTTGAAATAGAAAAAAGAAAATCCGAAGATTTATCAATATATTACAAAACTATTACGAGATATAAGAAGTTACACGGACTCAAACTTATAATTTCTTATAAAGAAAAAACTACGGTAACTATTTAATTAAGTAGTAGTTGATAAAATAAAAAAAATTTGATTATAGGGTTTTATAGAATCGGATAGTAATTAGTTACTAAAAAGCTTGTAGTGAAAATCTATACATTTTATTAATTACGCATCACATATATACTAATTATTATACAAACTTTTGATAATAACAAACATTCAACCCGTATATAATTAGAGGTAAGACAGAAACGTAAATAAACAATAAAAAATAATTAAACTTAGTAAAATAATGTAAAAATATGATTCTCTGTCATAAAACTCATATCATAAAACATTATTACTCGTGTTTAATCATTAACAAAACCCAAAAAACTATATACATATATATATATATATATATAGACATACATTTTGAGATTAGAGGATAAGTTAGAAATGTGAAATGATCAAAGCCAAGTAAATGCAAGTGGGTTCAAACTAGCTAGCTAGTACTTTACATGAACTACTTTTTGTTTAATTGTAATATTCATCTTACAAGTAATATTTAATTAGAAACAAAGTGTTAGAACTTTTCCATTCTTTTTTCAACTTAGAGATTATGAAAATTAAATTAGTTTGACTCGATTCAATTCAAACCTTAAACATTTTGATAATATGTCCTTTATACCCGCTCTCCATATATATTTATATTCGTTTTTAATCAATTAGTTTAATTTAATATATAGGTAATCAAACTATACTTATCAAACTTGTTTCAAGTTTGAATAACATGCACATAAATATAGCATTAGGGTATATTGACTAGGACGATAGGTTAAAAGTTTAGAGTTCTCGTGCATTTAGGTTAAATTTTTAATCGTGTTTTTACTTCTTAAAAATTTTAGGTTTCTTTTTAAATTTACTTTCTAATAAAAAATTTTAGATCGAAATTTCTTTTTTTAACCTCATTAAAACTTACGTCATCTTAATCTTTCATAAAAAGAAATTTTTAAATTTTGACGGAAAAACATATAACAAAAATAAAAAAACTAAATCTTTTATAAATATATTTCTAAATTTGACATAGAGTAATAAAATATTCTATTAGTAGTCATGCTGAGAGAAATATGAGAATCCACGATGATAGAATTAGGGTTTGTAATTAAGAACAGATTGATTAAGATATCGAGCTTTAACGATACCCATTGTTAATTTAAAATTAGTGAAAATTTTAGGAGATCAAGATAGCTTTTGTTAATGCTTAGGAATATTCATACATATATGTATCATTTTGAAGATATATACATACATGTATTTTAATTTTTCCTTCCTCTTTGTTATTATTTTCTCAGCTTTGGACACAAACCATGTAATTTTTTTTTTATAAAAATTTTAAAACATTTCCCCATATTTGATTTTGTTTACCGACATGGATGTAGATTTATTTATAGCAAATATATATATGTATGTATGTATGTATATATTATAGTAAAACTCTTTCATAGATGATTAAATTTTTGAGTCAAAGTTTGTATACGGTCAAAGTTGAAAAGTGTTTAATATGAAAAGATATGGAGTTATACCAAAATAAAAGATGATATTAGAAGTGAAGAATATTGTAAAAACAAGTTAAAATATTCTTGAGAAACCTGCCAATATTTATAGTAAAACTGTAAGTTATTGTGTATAAGAAAATATTACTTCCTCTTATTTTTTATACATTGTTGGGACTGTGAGAACAGGGATTGAGCCGAAGGAATCATTCTCGGCTATATAAATATATGTGTGTGTGTGTGTGTGTGTGTGTGTGTGTGTATGTATATATATATATATATATATATATATATATTCTTGATGTTGGCAGAGAGGTGTCTACTGGGTAAGGGCGTTTATGGTCAAAATATACTGCATTTTTTAATTTCATTTGAAAAAATACATAACATATATATATATATATTATATTTTAAAAGGAAAAAGTTAATTTAAATAGTATAATATTTTTTTCATATAAAAACATAATAAATTTATTAAAATTTAATTTAATTTAAAATTCATTACTTAAATATATAATCTTAAGTAATGAATTTTTCTTCTAGGTTCGATTTTAGTTAAGGTGAGATTAATATATATTAGGATCCTATAAATATATATGTATATGTATATATATTGGGAACCTAAATAAAAATTTCGATTAATTATATATATATATATTTCTTTAGATTAAGAACAATGAAGATCTCATTCCATATTGTTTACTTACAACTCAGATCTTATATTATAATTTATTTCTCAAAAAAAAATCTTATGTTATTCATTAATTAAAGTTCTTCTTTACTGCTCTTACTTTAGATTTATTTTTAAATCCATAATATATTTTAGTTTATAAAATTTTACTTTAAAAAAAATAAAAAATCCTAAATTACCCTTGTCATAATTTTGTCATTAGGTACCGAAACTCACAATTAAGAGTTGACTTTGTTAATTACAAGATAATTAGTTGTAAATTATCTTGTAAGAATGGTTTTAATGGTCTGTATAGTTCCTAACTATTCTGACCATTGACAGTTGAATAATTAATAGTCATAAACTAATCAGGGATGATTAGTTCATTCCTAATCCTTGTGATATTTAGTTAACAAAATAAATTATTGGGTTTAAGTTCTTTTGGGTGGATTAGAGTTATAGCTCTCAAACTCGAACCCGTTAACGAACATCTAGTTCATAGTATGGTTTCTCGAGTTACAATTTCTACGAGTTTGAAGAGTAATTCGGAGATATTTTTATAAAAATTTTTCCCAAAAGGGGGAACAAATGGAAATGTTTTTCTGTTGTCTTCTGAACAAATATTTTAAATGGGTGTTTGTTTGTGTAGAAAACTTTATCCTGGACAAGAAGAAAATTATGTTGACAAGTCCAAATAGTAAGAAATTTCCACATAGTATCGTCATCATAGACCTGAAATTCTGGCAAATTGATTTCCTAGCTTTTGCCCCATAAGACCATTTGCTTATCTCTAAATTTTGGCGAAGACCGTAGTGAAGAATATTTATGAGAAGAACAGATTTCATAACCAAGTTTATTGGAGGTTTTCTTGAAGTCTACAGGTAATCTCATTGTGGGTCATAGTTTGTAATGTTTCCCTTGCATATCATGGCTGCAAGATTCAAAAAAGCTGCAAAAGACAGAAAATTTTTAGGTTTTACTTTGGTTATTGAGAACAGCTACTGATTCTTTTTTTCTCAGAACAGAGAACGCGTTTGTATATTAGTTGTTGAAGTTGGAATTAGAATAGATTTTAAAGAACAAGGCAGTTTTGTTAATCTGTGTGTTAGCTTTTGAATTAAGAGAGTCATGGAGTCTAATCTTTCTAGTTTTGGTCATGGATCACCCGTTGGACCAATAAAAAAGATGACCAAATGGACAAGATGACATTTGTATATTAGAACTTACCTTGTTGTCTCAACCGCCCTGAAGTCTTCTTCTCTGTGCATTTTCTTCCAAGACAGTGGCCATGTTTGATCCATAATAAAAAGCAAAATATATGGTGAAGACACAGCTCT